TTTTTTTTTTTTTTTTTTTTTTTTTTTTTTTTTTTTTTTTTAGATCCAGCGAGAGGAACTTGAAAGGGGGGTTGTGTAATGTACCTTTTCCAATCCCGGGCTGTATATGGAGATTTGGGATTCTTTAAACCGGCGCTACCTGGATTTTATTAAAAAGCGGGGAGCTCGGCGGGAGGAAAGCTGGCTTTTCCGGGGGCTGCGGGAGCCGGGCCGCGGGAGGGCGGAGGAGTTGGCGCGCCGAGCGCTCGGCCCGGGGAGCGGTTTTCTACCAAAAAAAGGAAAGGCGGGCAAAAAGTGTGAGGCGGCTGCGGGTGGCGAAGGGGAGCAGCAGCCGCGGGATGGCGGGCAGCACGGGCGCCTAGCCGCGCCGGGAGCCGGGGCCACCACCGGAGTCGCCGTCGCCGGAGCCCAGAGCCGGGAGCCCCGCCGCGCCAGGTACGCTGCCGGGCCGCCCGTCCGTCCCTGGCCGGGCGCGAAGGTCTCCAAACTTCTTCATCTGACCCCCCACCCCGCCTCACCCTCGGGGTGCTCGGGAGGATCCCCGCAGCTCTGCGGTCCCCGATTACGGGATCGGGGACCGGCATCGGCGAGGTGGGGGCGCCCTGGGATGGGTGGGGGCGGGTCGCTGTGCCTCGGGCGCCCACCTGAGCCTTCAGCCCCGTTTCAGCCCGCCCAGCCGGGCTGAGGGGCGTCGGTTCCCGGCAGGCGGCGGGGGAGCCAGGGACGCCGAGACGTTTTCGATTATAGGCTGTTTTTAATTAAAAGCCGGAATTCAGCCATTTTAACTGCATTTAAGTGGGGGAGAAAAGTAGAGGGAACGCAGCGGAGCCCACAGATGGCCGAGCCAGCTTCTTTACCAGAGCGAGGGTGTTCCAGGGGCCTTCACCTCGACTTCCCCGAAGTGGGGCGTTGGGGCATGCTCCGAAGCTCTAGCTTTTAAAAGAAAGCTGCACAAAGAGCATTTAAAAAAAAAAATCACGGAAAGCTCATCGCTTCCTTAAGACATGTATCCTCGGATGTGGCGATCTTAGATTTTTCCAAAGTAAACGCGGATCTGGTAACCAGAGCCTGATGGGAGTGAGCGAGGGAGGGAGGGAAGAGGGTGTTTGTAACCAAAACCGGGTTAAAATAAGCACCCTTAGCAAAGTTGGGGAGGGAGGCTGGAGAAGGAGGCCGGGAGGTCAGCGGCTGAGGGGGTCTGCAGTTCGGGGGGCTGGGCGCCGGTCGCAGGGCGGGCACCCGGGAGCCGGTGGCTTTGGCGTGGATCGGTGGCTCTAGGAAACGCCCGGGCCTCTCGGAATCAGGAATCCGAGCTGCTGCGGGCACACGGAGAGCGAGGGCAGGGTTGGCTCCAAGACCCCCTCCCGCCCCCATGGGAATCGGCAAACGACAAATCTTTTAAACAAACAGCTTTAAACTGGAACTACAGGGGGATTTACCCAACGCTGGGGGAGGCGCCCCTTGGTCGGCCCGCGCTGCAAAGGTTTTCTTTGTAGGTTATTTTTGGGTTGGGGGGGGGGAGCTAGGGTAGGAGCGAGACCCTTCAGCCCCCTGCTTACCCTCTGACCGCCCCCCTCCCCCCAAATCCCCCGCGCCAGGCCACGTCCTAGGGCCGCAGGATTCCCAGGCCAAGGCGCTGGAAAATGAAACCAAAGCTTGTTTTGAAGGATTCTTTCCAGTGCTCGGGCGAGAATGCCACGTCTCGGGTCCTCGGACTCAGACTCTGCGACTCACAGTCGCCCGAGGGGGGCGGCGGGAGGAGGCACGAGCCTCTTTAAAAATAATAAACCAGCTTTGCATCTTCTCTCCTGGAAAAAAATGAAAAAAACCGAAAAAACAAAAGACAACACTAATTGGCGGCTCAGGGCGAATTTAGGGAAACCAGACTCAAAAAGGCAGGCCAGGGGCCAAAAAGGTTAAATATTAAACTTTCCGGATCAGATAGTGACCCAGTGTTTAGGGAGACATTTCGAACTGCTCATGGAAAGGTTTCACGGTTTGAAACCCCGGAGCATGTGACGCCCAGGAATCAGTCCCACTCGGGAGGTTTGTATTTATGCCGCCCGGGCGCGGCCGAGGGGCCTTCCCCGGTTTCGGGAGGACCCGTAAGCCGCCAAGCCAGTTTAGGCTGGGGCGCAGCGCGCCACCGGCCACTTTCCGAGCCGGGTCCCCGGGAACCGCGGCCGCCGGAGCAAGGAGCATGGATTTTTACTTTTTATGGAGGACGGGTTACCCCCGATTTTATTTCTGGCCACCAGATCCGCATTCCCCGACCCCGAACGGCAAGACGACTTTCTGAAACTTTGTTGTCTTTTTTCCCCCCCTTCCCTTTTCCTTTTTCCCCCCTTCTGTTTCTTCCGCGGCCCGTGTCCTTTCCCCGCCAAGACGCCGTGTGCGCCGCCTCGCGCAGCTCCGCCTGGCCGCCCGGAGGGGCCCCACCGCCGGCCGCCCGTGCGCCCCGGGCCG